GCAGGTAAATCCTCACAATCTCCACCCTATGTTTACACAGGAGCAACTTGTGTTGTCCCTCCATACCACTACCCTCATGGCACCTGTGCTTCATGCTGCCATGGTTTTTGATGTTGAGTGCTTGCACTCTGACATCATCTCTGCCCTACCCTCTGACCTTGTCTCTGCCAGCCATCTCCCCACCCCAACTAAGCCTTGGTGGTCCTTGGACTCTGATGGTCTTCTCTGCCTCAATGGTTGCATCTTCATCCCTGACATTGATGATTTCTGCCTTCAAGGGCTTCAGTTCAAGCATGATCACCCTCTGGCAGGCCATTTCAGGCAAAACTGCACCTTAGAACTCATCTGCAGAGACTACATGTGGCCTAATCTCCACTCTGATGTGAAAAACTACATCAGGTCCTGCACTGCCTGTGGATGGAGCAAAACTCCATGTCACTGCCCCTATGGTCTACTGAAGCAACTCCCCATCCCAGAAAGACCTTGGAACCCCACCTCCATGGACTTCATTGAGCACCTCCCCAACTCTGACAGCTACTCTGCCATCCTTGTGGTAGTGGACTGCCTCCCAAAGCAAGCAGTGTTCATCCCCACCCATGACTCCATCACCTCTGCTGAACTCACTAAGCTCTTCCTTAACCATGTCTTCTCCAAGCATGGGGTACCTGCTAATGTCACCTCTGACAGAGGTCCAGAGTTTGTCTCCCACTTCTTCTGCTCCCTAGGAAAGGCCCTTGATATGCATCTTCCCTTCACTTTGGGTTACCACCCAGAAGGTGATGGCCAGACTGAGCAAACAAACCAGACCCTCAAGCAGTACCTCCACATCTACTGTAACTATCAACAAGCCAACTGGGCTGAGCTCTTACCTCTAGTGGGGTTCACTTTTAACAATGCACCAAGTGTGACTACTGGAGTCTCCCCCTTCTTTGCCAACAAGGGGTACCATCCTAACCTGTCTGTGGTCCCCAACCAAGACTTCACCTCTCTGCAGGCTCACAACTATGTTGTTGAGCTCTCCACCCTTCATGACTTCCTCTGTTCCAAGATGTCCACTGCTCAGCAGCACTACCAGGGTCCAGCAGATGCCAAACACATACCTCCACCTGAGTTTAAGGTTGGAGAACAGGCCTATGTCAAAGCCAAGTACTTCCACTCCACTTGTTCCTCAGAAAAACTCTCCAAAAAGTACTTAGGTCTGTTCACCATCTTGGCCAGGCCAGGTACACACTCCATCACCCCAAAGCTCCCTGACTCTATGCACTCTATCCACCTGGTCTTCCATGTTTCACAACTGGAAACCACAGTGGCTAATCCCTTCCCTAACTGACAACAACCTCTGCCTCAACCAGTGGACATTGACAGCAACCTTGAGTATGAAGTATCAGAGATACTAGACTCTAAGGTGGACCACTGTCACCACCACTGTCAACTGTTGTACCTAGTCCACTGGGCTGGTTACAAGAACACTGATGAGGAAACATCTTAATTGCTTGCAACTGAGCTAGATCATGTCTCTGACATTTTCTCCACTTTCCATGAACATTATCCACACAAACCTGGCCTGTATCAACCTCTGCTATAGTACTCTGCCCCTATAATCTTCCTCCACAGACCAACTCCACCCCCTTTCCAAACTCCCTTAAGTACCTTAGAATCTTCTCCACCTGTCTGTCTCACTTCTCAGAATCAAAGTAAAAATCACAAGGTCTATTTCATAGTAGTATACAAAATACAAAGTCAAAAAATAATAATTCTACTTTACTCCTCCATCTCCTGTCCTTCACCACCTTCCTGCTCTCCTCTGACTTCCTCCTCTTCCTTGTTGTCCCCTCCACACCTTCATCCACCTCTTCAATTCTGTCCTCCACTGCCTCTGACTGTGGCTTCTTCCAGCCTCCCCCTGTGCACTTGAACTTGGCCACCCTGGCCTCATGTGCATCCTCTCTCTCCTCATCTCTGCCCACTCTGCCCATGTGTGGTACAGCCCCCACTCATCAGCTGTCCACTCTGCCACCTCTTCCATTCTCTTGAAGGCTGTCACAGCCCTCTTGTGCACCTCTGGGTACCTCTCTGCAGCCTGCAGCTGCCTCTCCCACTCCCACTCTGCCCACCACAAGGCTTCTGCCCCTGAGGGGCCCTTGTGCACCATTGCTGGCTCCTCCTCCTCTCCTGCCTCACACTCATCATCTGCTTCCTCTGTCTCTGCTGCCCTCTCCTTCCCTTTCCCTTTCCCTTGCAGTTGCTTTTTCTTCTCCCCTCAGGAGCTCCCTGTACCCACCCTTTTCTGCAGGGGCCCCATTGCTGGCTGTCCCTGCATCCAGCTACACACCTTCTTTTTGTTTTGGTGGGGCACACAGGCCCTGGCCTTGCCCTGCCTCACCTCACACAGTCCCACCATCTTGCTGATTATGCACTGCTCACAGGGGGACCTCCTGCTTGTGGTGACTACTACAGAGGCCCTGGGGACCCTCTGTGTGGTGGTGGCATCATAGACAGTGCCACATAACCTGTAGAAATAAAAAATAAATAAATAAAAAGTCTGCAAGTCAGCTCCACCTGACTTGCAGTGGTCCACTACACACCTTTGGGTGGCCTCATTCTGCCCAGCCTGGGCCCTCTCCTCCAAGGCCCTTTGCTTCTGCCTCTCTGCCTCCTCTGCCACTGCCTTCTTCCTTTGTGTGTCCTCTTCCTCTGCCACTTTCTTTCTCTGTGCCTCTTCTTCCTCTCTCTCCCTCTGCTCTGCCTCCAGTCAAGCCTCCTCCACCTTTCATTGCTTGGCCTCCTCTCACTTGGCCTTGTGCTCCATCTCACACTCTGTCTCCTTCTGCTCCACCTCTTCTTGTTGGTAGGCCTTCTCCATGGTCTTCTCCCACTTGGTGTTGGTCAAGTCATTTGTAAAGATGACTAGGTCATTGTCAGTGACCTGGGAGTAGTCATGAGAGTGACCAGTGGTGGGTTGGGGGGTTTTGGTTTGGCACTGGGGGGACATGATGATGGGTGGATAAGATATGAAGGTTCGGTGCCCTAACACATGTTTTTAAGCAGTTCTTCAAACTCTGATGGAGCTCCACTGTGGCTCAACCTGTTGTCCTCAAGGCATCAAACAATTTCAAATAATCAACTTGTGCTGATCTTGTTCTGTACATGCAGCCTTCAGGGGTTCAGGCCCTAAGGGGGGGCACTGTCACAACCATGCATTTATCCAAAGTCCCCACTCACTCCACACCCTACTCTGCTGGTCATTCCACTCATTCCACACCAACTCTGCCCATCCTCTGTTGTTTGCAAGTCTTCTCCACCCTGCCTACTGTCAGCCCATGTGGACCATCTTCCAGTGGGTCATGTGACCCTTGCCAGTCCAGCTCTCAGACTTCTCCTTGACAGCACACAGTCAGGTACTCCACAGTGCATGCACCTCATGGTTCAGTGCCTAGACTGTTTCCTGTTTGGTTTGTTCTATGTTACCCATCATATATTCCCCATCTCCCCTTCATTCATCATCCAGGAGGTTTTTACTTGAAAATTTATGAGTCTCTGTATGTCAGTTCTGATTCTGATTACTGTACCTCTGTAGTAGTATAAAAGCCTGTACAGTACTCTGCTGTTCTTCAGTATGAATATCACCTAAGTTCCTACTCTGTATCTCTCTGTCTTCTGTCTGTTGGAGTTATCTCTGATCTTCTGTCTGGTCTCTACCTCTGAAATACAAGGGGGTTGCACATGAGCTAAACCCAACACCCTCACTCTGTTCTGCTTCTGCCTCAGTGGACTTCATTCCTGCCAATCCTCCACTAGTTGGAGTTCCATTTGACTGTGTCAGACTTGCTTCCACACCTCTCCCCAGACCTTGTTTCATGTTGGAGTTGGTCAGAGTAGGCCCAGACTTGACACCCTCACTTAGGATAATCTGGGTATATTTGCTGGTCTGATTCAAAGTTGTCTTGATGTGTATGTTTCTCCCCTCCCCCCCTTTTTTTTCTGTTTTCACTTACAGAGTTTGCAGCTTGAAGCAGAAATATCAGCAATATATCATGTTGCTTGGGCAGACAGGTGCTGGATGGACTTATGATGATCTTGCAAGCAACACAAGCACAAAAAATATTATACATAGGTATGTCACCACACCTTTATCACCCACTGTCAGTGTACTGATCACTTCCAGACAGTATTCAGAAGGAATTCCCATGGTGGGGAGACCTGCATGGCTGGTGCCACACAAACCCTGCATACAACAGCATGTGGAGTGGTGCTGATAGTGGCCAAAGTTTTGCTGCTCATGCAGTTGGACTCTTCAAATTGCAGTTGAACCCTCACACTATTTCAGACAGCCTTCCTGTACCTAGCTCTCTAGTACTATTGGAATTGGAAGAGGGTGAAATAGGGGAGAGTAGTTCTAACTTAATCTTTGCAGATGATTCTCTGGCAATGACTGTAGACTACATTGGCAAGCCTCCCATCCCATTGCCTTCCTCTGCCATCTTGCATTCATCATTGTTCCCCTCATTTGATCAACAGTTGTCACCTGCTGTCCTGTCTCCCCCCCATTCAGATCTGAATGGCCATCACTTGCTATCCCTTCACCCCCCCTATTCAGAAACCAACTTGGCATTCAATTTGCCCCCCCTTTCATCTCTGGCAGGGTGGATCTTTCATTGTTTGCTCTGCCATCACCCCCACTGTTTGGGATTAAATGTCCATCACTTGGTGTTCCATCTCCCCCCCTCTCATTGCTGACAAGGTGGATCCCATCAGTCTGAATGACAACCCTGCCCCCTTCATGTCCCACTGCCCAAAAATTCAGCCAATGCACCTGTCTCTCGAGCACAACTCCCCTCTTCTGAAACCCAGGTTGGCTTCCACTCTGAACATGGATGAGTCATCCAACTCAGATATGTCATCATAAAATCTTTTTTTGGGGCTTCATATGTCTTCATCTTCCCCTGTGCCATCTGACAACAGTGGCTGCAAGCTGTCATCATCCAAGCTGTCCCATAAGCATGGGCATGAGGCCCCTGCTGACTGGCTTGGTGAGCCTTGCTTCAACATTGATGTCATTCATTCAGCAATTTCAACAGGTGCAGCAAGATTGGTTGGAGCACAAGTGCTCCCAAATGGACTTTGACTACTGGAAGGAGAAGGACAGGAAGTCTGCTCACATGGAGGATCACAAGCACTGGTTGCAAATGCAATGTGAGCTGCACGTGCACAAGCAAGTGATGGCAGCTCAGGAGGTTGAGAAGATGAAGCTTGTGGTTCAGCTGGAGCAGCTGCACATTCAGAATCTTGCATTGCAGAAAGGCATTGCAGGTGGTGAGGACCAAGGTACTTCAACTGATAGTCAGGATGTTCACCTCACCTTCTGAATACAGTACATGGTCATTTTCTCATAATCATCTAGCATTCTAGCATTCCCCCCCCCCTAGTATATTCAATGTAGACCATGGTATATACTAAATATGAATGAATTCTGTGAAGTTGTCTGTGTCATACCTGCCCAGAACAAGTCCCAGAGCACCAGAACAAAGTAATGTAAAAACAAAATATATTTACATACTCAAGGATGTGTTACACCTCTAAATGCTGAAGTAACTTGATAAGAAGTGCATCCCTAAATATCTGCCCCTCTGATCCAATGTAGTTTCCCTGACCACTTGTGTCCTCACCTTCCTCATCCTCATCAGAGGGAGGAAATGCCCCAGCAAACTCTTCAGCTGATGATGCCAAACCAAGGTCCTCCTCAATTTCTATGATCATGTTATGGAGAACCAGACAACTTTGCACCCATGCATTACAATACTCCAAGTCTTCTGGAGTCTGTATTTGGATTTGAAGCTCTTTCAGGGATTGGAAGCACCCTTTAAGGGAACCATAAAGATGTTCAGATCAAACATGTATCTTGCCATGACAGATGAGTATGGACTAAATACGTAAAAAGAGCTGTTATGTACTTTAGACAGATGATAATTGAATGTCTTCTGCACCCTAGTCAACTGACCTGAAGCAGGACCCCTATTTCCCATGGAATAACATGCATATCAAAGTCACTCAGTTGATTGGAATTTCCACACAGGACCTAGATTGCCTCAAAGATGAATTGATACCAGACCCCACACTTGCTGGCATCCCTTTGGATGAGTCAGATGAATAGTGTGTTCTTCTCTTTCCTTTCTCACTTTTCTTTTCTCTCCTTCTCTATTTTTTTTCTTTTTGTTTATGTATACTGGTTTTGTCTCATATAAAACCACACTGCTGTGAGGGATGATTAATTAAGAGGATTGAGGATGGAATAGTAGAATCTGAGGGGGTGAGTAAGACCAAGGGGCCTCTATAGCCTGAGCAAAGAGCAAAGGGGATGTCTGGGGACTTCAAGGGCAGTCTTAAGCTCATTCTTGTCTTTGGGGTAGCTTGTCTATTGGTGAAAACTTACAGTAGGAACAGACTGTAAGTGAGTGCTGGCTAAGCACAAAAAAAGCGAACTATATAACTAAAGTATAGTACTCATAACAGTAAGTAAGGAAACAATAAAATAGGAATTAATACCCAATCCCTTAGTAGGGAGATCCCTCTCCTTACACCACTCACAAGAACAAGTCAAAAGAGTCTTAAAAAATAAGAATAAAAATAAAAATAAAATCCTGCTACACTTTTTTTGAGACAATCTTCCTTGCCAGACTTTAGACTGAATACAATACAGAAAGCAGACTCTATTTGCATTTTATGGACCATACAAAATTTCTGTGGACATAAGTACATATAGTACAAAGCATAGCACTCACAGATCCTAGAGCTTGTCCCTCAGCTTTTGAAGCTCCTCCTGTCTTGACTGGGCCATGCCAATCTGCCTCTCCATGCACATCCTCAGCAACCCTAGCAACCAGTGGATTTGGCCTAATTCAATTTCTTCATCATCCACCCATGCTGCCAGGATCTGCACCCATTCCACAAGTTTGGCTGTTGTTCATTTGGGCAGGATTGTGACCTGTGGAGTTTCCTCAACCTGGTCCAGCATCTTGATGTCACCATGGTCATCCAGTAAACCTGTTGCCATGGTGGAAAAGCTGCCTTTGAACAGGTCTTGTTGACAGGAGCTGTAATGACTGGTAGACTTTTCACTTTGTTGTTTCCTACTTGCCTATATATATCCACCCTCTGGTTAGGGCTACCATTTAGGAGATGCTTAGTCATCTTGGACTTCTCTGTTCCTTACTCTTTCATGCTTACTTGTTGCTTGGTAAGGCTACACCTCACCTGTGCCACATGTTTGCCTTCTGACCAATAGCATAGTTTTCTCTTCTGTTTACTTCTTTCTCAAAAATTCTCTCATGGCAGTATGTACCAAGCTGTAGGGCAGTATATAAGTCCTGTCATTTGTCATAGCTAGTTCTCTAATCTAGTTCATTTTGGGCTTGGTACTCAGTCAATAGGTCCCACTCCCATTCTCTCTGGTTTGAAGTGTTAGCTGAGAAGACTCACATCTTTGATTGCTTCACTCAAACTAGATTACAACTTCTCCCCTATCACTTAATACCCTGTGCAAAGGGTCAATGGCAGTACAATAGTTGTAGTGGGCAGTTCCACCCATAGATTCTTTTTGTTTCTGTCAGTGTGACCAAGAGCACCCAAGTGATGAAGCCAGCTGGGCAAGTGTCTTAGGGAGTTTTACTGTATGTATATACACTGTCCTGAGGTTGAGCTTGGTGTATGCAGGGCAATTCTTGATCAAGAGGACCTGCAAGGTCCAGAGTCACTGAGCCATATATAGCCATAGTTCCTGCATGGCAGCAGAGGTAGACCCATAGTTGATGTACCCAAACCCACCATAGTTTGCATAGTGTGCCAGGCTGGTCTCTCCCTATTGCTAGGAGATTGATCAGGTGCATGACAGCAAACAAGCTACATGTTTAGTGGTCTCATACATCATTGGCAAGTAGTATGCCTACTTTACCTTATGTTACCACCATTCCAACCATCAAGAAGGAAGAGGTTGAGCTCTGTCTCCCTCTTAAACTCCTCCCTGTAAAAAGGGAACTTTCCACCCCATGCCTTTCATGCTCTTTGTCTCTGCTCCCCCTGCTCCCCCTTCTGCCTCTTGAATTGTTCTGTGAGGTAACTCTGGAACTTCTTTATCCCATGCCCTTGCCCTCCCCTGACCTGAATGAGCTCAGGTACATTTTTAATACCCCCTATAACTTCAGAAACTGTTGCACCATCCACTGTCCCCTTCACAGACTGATCCCACTAACAAGCAGAAATGGACCCCACCCTGCCCCCTATTGATATGGTGATGGTTCAGGCAATGGCAGCAGCAATGGCACAAGCCATGCAACAACATATGGGCATGCCAGCTGTGGCACAAACAGCAAATTTCAATCCCTCAAAGAGAGGTGTCACCAATCCAGGCCAGTTCAATGGCTCAATTGCAAAATATGAAGAGTGGGTTATTGAGATGAGAGCCTACTGCAAAGTGGCTGTCCACCACTATACAAGCCAGGACTGCATGACCTTCTGGACTTGCATGTCTAGGCCAGTTGCAGGGGCACATGCACAGGCCAAGTTAGATTACCATTTGGCCAATGGTAACTGGACAACTTTAGATGAGGTGGTGGCTGACCTCAATGCACACCATCAGCCCATGAACAATGGGGACTGGACATGCAAGAAGATGATGAAAGTGAGGCAGGGATCTCCCAGAATGGATGCCTTCCTGGCAGAATTTGGTAGTTAGAAGACAATGATGAATAACCTGCAGGTGTTGTAGTTCATGCACCTGCAGTGCAAAAGGAAGGCCCCATACAAAGAGTATGTAGTTGAGCTCTGGCTGGTGGCTGGTAATTTTGAAAACCACTGATACATGATGGCCTTTTTGCAGAGGGTATGGCCACAAAACCAACCACATGGCTTCACTGCCATGGGAACTCAGCCCAGGGCCAGCACCCCAATGGAGATAGGAACCACCCAGTAGAAGGGCAAGGGGAAGGGAACCCCTAAAGACAAATCCCACATAACATGTTTCAGATGTGGCCTGAAAGGCCACTATTGTAACAAGTGCCTGAAATGGGCATGGCCACAAGGACACCTGGTGTAGGGAGCTGTATAATCCCTGAGGCTGAAACAGGAAACATCAGTAAATTCTGCTGCCTCTGTGACAAGCTCCTATTGCTCTATGCCTTTGGAATTCTTCCTGCTCATTGCCTCATGTTTCATCACACCCCCTTTTGGCTTCAGAGTTTCTCCTGACCTCCAACATGTCCCCCAGTCATCAATAAGCAGATCTGAAAAATTCCACATTCACCCAGAGATGTCAATAAGCTGATCTGGAATTCTGCATCCAAGCCACTGCTCAGCCACATCACCAGTAATCCATGCCAATTGCCTCTAAAAAAACACCAGTTCCCCCTGTCTCCCAAATTCTGCAGATCATCCTTCATACCTGTAGGCTCTTCCCTTCTGCAGTTCTGTCTTCCTGCCAACTCCATCTCTCACCTGTACACATACCCATGTTCTGTTGGAAGATACCCCCCCTTGCCTTTGTTCCTTTTATGCTCATTTACCACTTGCTGGACTATTCCACATGCATCTGTACTTTGCTGACATCTGTCATCCTTTCCTTTATTTTCCAGTCTTTTAGTTTTTTGCCCCACTTTACTCTGCCTTGTACCCACATCCCATGTACTATAGAATTCCACCATAGTGTCAGAAAAATACCCAACCACTTTTGGAGTCACTATCTGTGTGTTTTGCAAGTCCAAGAGCCCCCAGAGTCTAAATGTGTCTATTGAGTCTACAGCATCTACAGAGCCTCCAGTGTTTCCCATGCCTCCTGCATCCTCTAGCCCATTGCACCTCACCTCATGTCTCCCTTGTCTCAGATACACTCCTCTTGTCACAAAACTGCCTCTTGGAAGTCCATATACCAAACTTGCTGTTGTGCATCAACAATCCACTGGAATTAGTTTCCACAATCCTCACACATATACCCTACCCCTTCTAGTGTTATCTATGATTTCTCCTTCCACTCAGCACCCCTTGGGACAATCCTAGGGAATTCCCCCTACAGTCTTCCTCTAGTTGCATGCTTCCTAGAAGTCATGTCACAAATCATTTTGGAGCCCACTGCAAGGGGTCTGTAGATCTGGAAAGGAGATCCCCATGACTGATTGATCAAAGATCCACACTTGAAGAGCTCCTAGAGCCCTTCTGCAGACTATCTATTTCTTCATCAGAAATCTTTATCCTGGTAGCTGATCCCAGAGACATTTCAGAACCACACTTGTCAGACTCAGAACTCAGTTTAGACAAGATATTTCAGAGCCCAGAGTCCCCATTGTTTTACCCAGCATTTCCCAGAGGTTTTGACCTTGAT